GTCCCAAAAAAAAAAAAAAAAAAAGATTTCTCTTTGATGCTATCACAGACTCTTTGATTTCTCCTCCTTGTGGTCCTGTGATTCTGCCAAAAGTTATGACATTTAGACCTGGAGAAATGGGAGCCAGGTTTCAACTTATTAGCAGCCAATCTAGCTGTACAACTGGCTGCTGTGAGGTGGGATGGCTGATGGTTGTGATGCCAGTTTCTGCCACCCATGGAGCCTAAGGGCAGGGTTGGGATCTGCCATTTCAGGGCACAGACTCCTCCTGTCCCGGGAAATGTAGGGCAGAGTTTGATGGCAGGCAGTGGGCCTGGAAGGAAGAGTCCACAGGAGGGAGCCTGTAGGATACAGGAGTCATAATAATAGGACGTTAATCGTAACCGTGCTAAGTTCAGTCCTACCAAGTACTGACTGTCTATGCCAAGCATACTGTAAAGTGCTTTCCATTTATTATTTCTTTGAGCCCTCAGAATCGGTGGGGTAGATACTACTGCTTTCACTTTACAGATGAGGAAACTGAGGCTCTGATCACTACGTAAGGGACTTCTTTTTCTCTGTAAGGAATCACCAGGGATGGGGCTGAAGCTGACCCCTAGGGAGTCTCCCTGAGAGCTCAGGCCCATGAGAGTGGGAAGGAGCTGCTGTTCTTGGAGCGGAGGTGCCTGCAGGGTCTGGGGCTGCTTCGGCTCATCCTTCCTCAGCATTGTGGCCTCACACAATGATAGGCATTTCCTGTCTGGGGCTGGCGAGACATTGAAAAGAATTGAGTTGGGTAGACACACAACACAGGACATGGGGATCCCACAGGCTCCAGCAGGCAGGCTGCAGCCTAGTTCACAGCGAAGTCCACGGATTTTGGAGTCGAACAGACCCGAATTTAAGTCTAGACTCTACCATTTTCTAGCCATACAGCCATGGTTAGTTAACTTAATATGTGGGCTCTGAGGCATCTCGGTGACCAGGAGAATGAGTGCATGGGGTCAGGAAATGTTTGTTTATCAGATAAGCCTCAAGTCCTTTTTTATTTTTTTGAGACGAAGTCTCACTCTGTTGCCCAGACTGGAATGCGGTGGCACAATCTCAGCTCACTGGCACCTCTGCTTCCCCAGTTAAAATGACTCTCCAGCCTCAGTCTCCCGAATATCTGGGAGTACAAGCTAATGCCATCACGCCCGGCTATTTTTTGTATTTTTAGTAGAGACAGGGTTTTACCAACATCAGGCTGGTCTTGAACTCCTGACCTCATGTGAGCTGCCTGCCTCAGCCTTCCAAAGTTCTGGGATTAGAGGCATGAGCCACTGTGCCCGGCCATAAGCTTCAAGCTCTTCATCTGTAAAATGGGAATAATATTTACCCCTAGCACTGTCAGGATTAAGTTAAATCATATTTCTAGGGAACTGCATACTTTGCACATAATGAGTCCTCAGCAGGTGATGATGGTGGTGATGGTGATTGTAATTGGTGTTGAGACAGAGGGACCTTCTCTGCTGAAATAGTTTGGGTTTTGCACAAGACAGTGCAGGGGAGAATTGCCACAGAGCCTGGCCCTGGCTGGTAGAGGCTGGGAAAAGAGACCCAGAGAGATTCCCTCGGTCAGAGATCTGGGGAGAGGCCCATGGGGGTGGTGGAGAGAGTGGGGATGTCGAAAAAGAAACCACATTAGCCTAAGTTCTGGAGGAGACGGGACCTGCCAAGTATTTAATTCAGCCAGAGGGAAATGAAAGGAAAACGAAATTGCTATTGTGCATCTAGGTGACAGTTTCCACCTCCACCTCCGCCTGTTGGCTGCAGGGTAAACAGTAATTATGCACTAAGGCAAGGGAGCTTCAGCCAGGAGAATCCTTGGAAGAATACGGGCTGTGAACTCAGACTTTGTCTTCTTTTTTTCTTCTTCCTCCCTCTGCCCTCCACGTCCCCTCCCCCCACCAGGTGACTTGGTCTCCCGTGCCATGCACCACATGCAGGGGCGCCACCCCCTGTGCCCGGGCGCCAGCCCTGCCCGCCAGGCCCGCCAGCCGCCACAGCCCATCACTTGGTCCCCCGACGCCCTCCACACGCTCTACTACTTCCTGCGATGTCCACAGATGGAGTCCATGGAGAACCCCAACCTGGACCCCCCGAGAATGACCCTGAACAATGAACGGTAGGGATCTTCCTTGGGCTGAGCACCTGGTGAGATGTGCTCCCAAACGTGCATTGACCGACTGACTGATGCCTGACTGACAGGGTGAGAAAGGGGCCCTGGAGCTGTGCTGTGTGCCTGTGAGGAGGCGGCCAGGAATTCCAATAGATGAAGGCCTGCACTAGTATGCAGTGGGATTTTTTTTTTACCCTGAGCTGATGTACCGTGGAACCATTGAGACTCAGAACATGGGCTTTGGCCTCTGTGCCCAGTCTGGCACGTGCTCGCTGGGCTCTCTGAAATTCAGCTGCCTTGTTATAAAATGTGATAGCCACACACACCTAGAAATGTTAGTGTTCTGAGAAAAAGCATGTGGGATGGGGGCTGGGTGGTAACTGGCCCTTGGCCAGTGGTAGCTGTCACCTCTTTTCATGGGGTTATCCCATTCAAAAGTGATGAAATGATCACTGCTGCCATCTTTGTTATTAGGGGTCTTGGGCGTGTTTTGCCCCATCCATCCATTTTACAGAGGAGACCGTCGTGGCCCTGGCAGCTGTCTGATCTCCAGCAGGTTAGGGGTTGAATAGCCCCTGGACCCAAGCCTGTGGGCTCCTGGTCAGGTACTTTCACTAGAGGGTCCCAACACTTTCCTAGCTGGAGGCAGCGCTGCAAAGAACAGATGTGTAGGTTGTGTACTGCACAACGGAACCCAGTGAGGGGCATGAGTAGGGGATGCACGGGGAGCCATGTCAGCCTGAGGACAGGATACCTTTTCTAATTGGTCTTCTCAGAGGGCTGCTTTTTTGAAATTTTCTGCCTGGAAAATATGCTTTTTTATTATTTTTTGTTTGGTTGGTTTTTCGTTTTTTGTTTTGTTTTGTTTCTGAGATGGAGTTTTGCTCTTGTTGCCCAGGCTGGAGTGCAATGGTGCAATCTCAGTTCACCACAACCTCCGCCTCCCAGGTTCAAGCAATTATCCTGCCTCAGCCTCCCAAATAGCTGGGATTACAGGCACCTGCCACCATGCCCTGCTAATTTTGTATTTTTTAGTAGAGAAGGGGTTTTGCCATGTTGGTCAGACTGGTCTCGAACTCCCAAACTCAGGTGATCAGCCTGCCTTGGCCTCCTAAAGTGCTGGGATTACAGGTGTGAACCACTGTGCTGGGCAAAAATGTGCTTTTTTATAACTTGTCCAAAACCTTGTATGTTGCTGGCATGAACCTCACATGGAGGCCACCGCATGGCCACTTAAGGTAAGGTCTGTCCATGGGCTCAAGAGCTGTGTGTTTGAGGGTCCAGGAAGTGGGAAAGCCTTGCCTTTGGTTTGGGAAGGCTTATCTGCACACACTTCACCACACAGTGAGGCCCAGGAGAGGCAGAGCCCACGGGACTGGGCACCCTACCGGGAAGACAATCTGAAACCTCCATATTGGAAGTTCTGGAGGCTCTGCAGTCCCCTGCCTGACTGCCCACTGTCTTTGTGGGGCATTGAGTCTTAACTGCTCTGCAATCCACAGCCGGCTCCACAGCCAGGTCTGCTTCCTTAGTGCCCCAGAAAACAAAGGCACCAAGGTGGATTTACTGAGTGTTTACTATGTGCTTGGCACTGTGCTGAGCACTTTGCGGGTGGATGCTCACTTAATTCATACACTACCAGGAAAGAGGTGCTCTTCAGAGCCCCATTTTACAGATGAGTAAGTGGAGGCATGGAGAGACTGGCCCCACCACACAGCTGTGCCCCTCATAACCACTACACAGTACCTCCTGTCACTAAGAGGAATGTAAAACAGTAGTGGCCCAGTACTCACCTCGTAGGGCCTAGTAAGTGCTACCATTGCTGTTATCAGTACTAGTATCCTTATTATGTCATCACTGTTTTATTTCTCTGGGAGCTGGCAGGTGAATGCAAGTCTGAGGAGGGCCACCCTGGGCCTGACACAGCAAGAAGACTGGAGGTGGGGCCCCAGGCATCCTCAAAGACGCTTTTGGTGTGAGCTAGGGCCAGAGCACAGGCCCTAAGCCCCAGCTGTTCCTGCTTTGTGGGAAAGTGTTGTGGTTGAAGGAGTGGGCTGGGAGGGAGAAAGGGCAGGGAAGACATGCAGGAAGGAGGAGGCAGGAGGCTTGCTTGCTGTTTGGTAAGGTGCCGGGCTGAGGCCGGGTCACCCACACAAAGGTGACTGGAGAAGAGGACAGGAGCCTTCCTCAGGCCGGTTGTCCTGGCTGCTGGGCCCTCAGGCTGTCATGGCTATAGGCCAGGGGGCAGGCGTTCCTCTGCTGGCACTTTCCTCAGCTCCCTTGGGAATCTGCGTCGTGTCCTGTGGCTTTCCCCCAGGAGGGTTCCAGGCCCCAGCCCCCAGTACTCTAACACACAGCATCAGGGTTTCTTCCTGATCTGAGTTGCGCAGCCCTGTGGTTATAACAGCTGAGCTTGCATGGTAACAGACACACGTGCATGTGTTTAGATCGCCGTTTATTTAAAAACCACACTATCTGTAGCACAAATAAATTGGTAGCAAATATATTTTTCCATGAATCATTTCAAATGAATAGCAGACACATGGGAAACTGGAACCCCATTAGAAAAACAAAAGCATCCAAAATTTTTAGGTTTTGACACCAAAAGGAAGACACCCTAAAAATACTTGGGGAGCTGCTCTCTGGCTCACTCTGACAGGGAAGGCCCTAGAGGCTGTGGGGATCCTTCCTGGGAGCACTGAGCTCACAGCATTACGGCAGGCTGGGCTGCGCCAATGTCGTGTCAAGGCCCCAGCACCATGATACCCTCACCAGAGCTCTGGGGAAAACCTCTCCTGATGTGAAAAGCAGCTGGAGTGTGCTAGGGTTCTAGAGTGACAGAGCTTTGCTTTTGTGAGTTTGGGGATGTGCGCCTGTCTGTTCATGTTTGACTCTCTCTCCACTTTGTCCCCTTGAAGCTCCACCCTCTGTCCCGCCTAGAAGTATGGGGGACTGCGTTCACCCAGCTAGAATTGGACAGAGCGCCTGATTTCAGTGTGACCGTGGTTGTCTGTCTGTAGAGGCTGTCTGTGTGGGGATTGGTGGCTCTCTGGGTTTGTTTGGGATTAAGTGACCTCCTCTATTGCCTTGCACACGTGGGAGAAGGAGCTCAGTTTGGTGACATGGGTTTGGCAGCAGAACACCATTGATGGCACCACTCAAGTCTGCACTCATATTTCTGCTTTGAAGAAAGGTACCCTGATTCCTTCCATTAGGGGCTGTGTCTGACCACGTCCATGCCGACCAAGGGAAGGGACGTGTGTTCTTCTCTTGTGTGTAGAGCTCGCTGTGGCATTCCCTTCGTATTTTTCCGTAAGGGCCCTTCTCCCCAGAGCTCTCTGCTCTGGTTTTGGGAGGAGAGACGATGGGAAGCAGGAGTGGCAGAAGCAGCAGGAACTCAGCATGGCGAGCGGGCAGCTTTGCAGGGAACGAGGAAGCCTCCAGCCTGCTTTCATCCACTGCTGCAGTGAGCCTGGTGCATCAAGAAACAGTTCAGGCTTTGGGGCAGAAGCCTGAGCTCAGAGCCACAGAGGGCCCTTCCATGCCTCAAGCTCCTCGCCTGTGAAATGGGGCTAAGTAATTCTATTCAGTAAGACAAAGTGAGATCACATACGCCCTTCCTTTAAAGCCCATTTCTACCTGCTTCTATGCCCAAAGCACATCAGCAAGTTTGATGCCATCATTACCTCCATTTTACAAGTGAAGACGGGAGGCCGAGGGGTACCCAGAGATAAGTGGCGAGGCCAGGATTCAAACCCGAGGTCTCTCTTACCTCACGCCCCTCACCTTTCCCTGTGCCAGGCTGTGGCTTTCCCAGCTGGCTGCCGAGACCTGATCCCACAGCTCTGAGGCATGCTGGGTGAGCCCCGGCCTTTGGGGCCACCTTCTCTGGGGCCATTCCAGCCCCACTCCCTCACTATCCTGGGAAAGCTCTGAAGCGGAGCCGCCCCGCACCCTCCCAGGGTGCCTTCCTCGTTGGCAGCTTTGCATCCCAGGCACCAGCCAGGCACAAGGCAGAGTCAAAAACACAGAATTAGTCACAGCTGCTGCCCTGCAGGGTGTGTCATCACCCGAGATCAAGCTCAGAAAGTGAAAGAGTCTCCTGTCAGGGATCCAGGTTGCCCAGGGAGATCGGGAGCCTCCTTCCTCTGAGGTCTGGAGGAGAATGGACAACCATCTGGTTAGACATGGCCCTGGCTGGTTGTGCCTGGGGGCAGAGGGATGGGCTAGCTGGAACAGAGTCTTTGGCCGAGGAGGCCATCACCCTCCTGGGGAATGAGAGGTCTGGGGCGGTAGGGATAAATACTACACAGACACGTAGGCAGGCAGGAGGCCCGCCAGCTCGCCAGTGAATTGCTGGAAGGCAGCGTCATCAAGCAGAGGAGCCAGAGGGAGCCATGCAGGCAGAGGTGCAGAGGGCCTGAGGTCGACAGGAGGGGACCGTGGCTCCGTATCAGAACCTGGGTTGCTGGAGGCTCGGGCTCCCCCAGGCATCTACTGAGAGCAGCAGCACAGATGCCAAAGCCAGACCTTTGAGGAGTGGGAATGGCAGAGGGCCACTGGTCCACAGAGCGGTCCGCTTGCCTCATATCCTGGCCCCTTGCCTCCTTCTCCCCAGCCCGAATGGCACATCTCCACCTCTGTGGAGAGAGGCACACTCAGAAGGCCTGGAGCAGCCAGGCACAGTGGCTCACGCCTATAATCTAGCACTTTGGGAGGCTGAGGTGCGTGGATCACCTGAGGTCAGGAGTTCAAGACCAGCCTGGCCACCATGGTGAAACCCCATCATAAAAAAAAAAAAAAAAAAAAAAAAAAGAAGGCTTGGAGCCTGCTGGTGTCCAGGACACGAAAACAGGAGGAGTATCGAACCCTTCCCAGAGTTCTGATTTGGGGTCAGGCTAGAAACATCTGGTATTGTGGCTTCTTAGCCAACCAGAATAGCCCCATCTGAGGAAGGCACTGCTATTCAAAGGTGTGTATTTGAGATCTACCTTGCCACTTTTTAT